TTTTTGAGACAAAGTCTTACTCTGTTGCCCAGGCTGGAGTGCAGTGGTGTGATTTTGGCTCACTGCAACCTCCGCCTCCTGGGTTCAAGTGATTTTTGTGCCTCAGCTTCCCAAGTAGCTAGGATTACAGGGGCCCACCACCATGCCCGGCTAATTTTTATATTTTTAGTACAAAATTTTGTATTTTTAGTACAGGGTTTCACCATGGTGGCCAGTCTGGTCTTGAACTCCTGACCTCATGATCCACCTGCTTCAGCTCCCCAAAGTGCTGGGATTATGGCTCATGCGAGCCACTGCACCCGGCCGGAAATGTTTCTTTATGGTCAAGTAAGTTTCGAGATTCGAACATATTTTAATATTCACTGTGGTAGGCAGAATAACGGCCCTCAAAGATGTTTTTGTCCTAATGCACAGAACCTGTGAAGAAGTTACTTTATGTGGCAAAAGGGATCATACAGATGTGATTAAGGTTCAAGACCTTAAGGTGGAAATCGTAGCCTGTATCATCCAGGTGAGCCCAATTTCATCACACGAGCAGAGAAATTTGCCTGACTGCGGTCAGAGAAAGAGGCATGGCAATGGAAGCCAGGTGAGAGAGATGCTAAATTTCTAGCTTTGAAGATGGAGGAAGGCAACCATGAGTTAAGGTGTGCCAGTGTATGCCTCTAGAAACTGGAAAAAAAGAAACAAATTTTCCCAGAGAGCCTCCTGAAAGAAACTGGGCCTTATCAATATTTTATTTAGCTCAGTGAGACCCACGTCAAATTTCTGATCTATCAAACTGTAAATAAGTGTGTATTGTTTGAAACTATTAAGTTTGTGATAATGCGTTACAATATCATTAGGAAACAAACACACCTCATCCTTGGAGAGTCATGGTGCGCTTTGGCATATTAAGAGTTCTAAGAAGCTTTTCATTTAACCCAGCACTTTAGAAACTTAATTGAACACCAAACTCTTAATCTCCGGTAACATACATTACATCTTAGAACATCATATGAAAAATACTGCATCTCAGCATTAACTTTTCTCTTTTTTTGAGATTGAGTTTTGTTCTGTTGCCAGGCTGGAGTGTAGTGGCGCGATCTCAGCTCACTGCAACCTCTGCCTCCTGGGTTCAAGCGATTCCCCTATCTCAGCTTCCCAAGTAGCTGGGACTACAGGCTCATGCCACCACGCCCGGCTCGTTTTTTGTATTTTAGTAGAGACGGGTTTTCACCTTGTTGGCCAGGATAGTCTCGATCTCCTATCCCCTATCCACTATCCAGTGACTGGTAGGAAGGGGTTAAGTAGGGTGACTCCTAAGTCTAAATTTGAACCCGTAAGGATAAAGTCCTGAACCTGTTTCCCAATGAGAATGACAAGTGCTGGGATTACAGGCTTGAGCCACAGCATTAACCATTAACATCTAGTGTGATTTAGTTCCTATGTTTTCAATGTGATTAAGTGAAAGAATGGGACACAGGACAGGTAAGTTTTGATGGCCCAGCATGGAGGTCTGAAGAGGTGAGACCTGGGTGGGAAAACTCATGGAGGAGTGATGAATAGATAGGTGGGTACATGCTACAGACAAACTACACAATGTGTAGACAAACTACACAATGCTACACAATGTGTGTTGTTGTGCTCAATAGTTTGTGCCAAGACCTCCTTGCCCTTCAGGTTCACCATCTTCTCTAGGATATTTTCCCTGACCTCCTCTCCCAGGACTAGGTTGGAAGCCCGATTTATACGCTTCCACCACCTCCTGAGTTTATTTATCTCCGGCTGTGGCAACAACGTCCTGAAATGGCCTGTTTGTTTGCTTCTCCTACTGGCCTGAAGTTCCTAGAGGGCAAGTTCACTGTTCACATCTTCTGTGTCCCATCCTGCTTCAGCATATTGGGGAGAGCCTTTGTCTCATCCTTTTTAGACCACGAATGTGTACGAGCTTAATCCTGACTTTCCTTAGAATTGGTGGATACAGTTAAAGCCTAAATCTCCACCCTGGCCCCATGTTGGCTGCCCAGCTACAGTTCAGCCTAAGTACTCATGTTCCAAATAAAACCATGGAGCACCTTCTATCATACATTTTGGAGTTTTATTTTGTTTACCTACCTCCTTCTTTTCCCGTAGTAAAACATGCAAGGGGTTCAGCCTGAATGTGTTCTACATTATACCACAGTTTATGAGGCAGCCAACTAGGTTATAGGGGAGACAGATCAAAAGACCAAATGCTACACTGCCAAGATCGTTTGTAGGAAATGGTCAAAATTGAGAAGCTGTAGATATGAACAGGACACCCTGTTGAAAGGAAGTGAAGTGCTAGGTCAGTACTGGCATAAGGTAAGAGATCAAATGAGTCAGAGAGAGAATCCCATGTACCACATCTCACATAATCGAGGAAAGCTTCCTGGATGTGGAGGACTTGGATGTAAAGAGTAACCAAAATTTCCTGTGAGGAATCGCCCCTTTCCCTCTCTCAGTCCCAAGGTGAAACACAGGTCTTGGTTCTGAACAATCAAAGTCCTGAATCCACTATCCCCAGTGACTGGGAGGAAGGGGTTAAGCAGAGTGACTTCTGAGTCTAAATTTGAACCTGTAAGGATAAAGTCCTGAACCTGTTACCCAATAGAGAATGACAATAAGCCAATAACAAGAGCAGAGGCAAGAAATGGGGAGAGGGCCAGTTCACGAGTCCTGCGTTAAGCTTTATCTGAAGTTCTTTATATACAAAAGATAGTAAATTCCCTTTTTCAAGTAGGCCAGTTTGAGTTGGGTTTCTATTTCTTTGTAATCAAGAGTCCTGATGATTCAGAGGAAAGAAGGAGGTATATAACATGAACAAAGACAGAACGCTGGGAACTAAGACTCAGGGAGTAGTAGACAGTATTCTCAGCACCCGCCTCGGGGAACGGCCACCTCTCCGACCATCCACACAGTCATAAAGGAGAAATTCCCTATAACTGGACCTACTTAAAAGACCCTGTTCCTGCATCAAGGTGGCTAGCACCTGTAATCCCAGCTACAGGGAGGCTGAGGCAGGAAGATCACTTGAGCCCGGGAGTTGGAGGCTGCAGTGAGCCATGATTGGGCTACTGCACTCCAGCCTGGGCAACAGAGCAAGACCCTGTCGCTAAAACAAACGCAACCAACCAACCAAACAAAAAGACCCTACTCCCCTGGTCACATCTGAGCTGCCACAGTTTCTTCCTCAGTAAATTGGAATTGCGAGAAGAGTTTAATGTCAGTCAAGGCTAGTCTCCCGAAGGGGAAAAGAGGTGAGACCTTAGAAGCCATAGCATGGCTGTGTTTATCGCTTGTGGACTGAGCAGAAGAGAAAGCAAGACAATATCATCACTTTATAGATGAGGAAAACCGAGGGTTAGAGAGATTATGTAGCTTGCCTAAGGTTGCACATTTGGTATGATTTTACAGAGCTAGCGTCCAGCTTTTTAAAATTCAAGAGTGGGGCAGGAAACAGCTGGGTCAGAGTGGCGTAAGAACCCTGGACGGGTGAGATTTGGGGCAGACAGCACGGGTGGTCTCTCCAGAAGAGTCAGACCAAGTCCAAACACTCAGAGACAACTCCCAACACTCAAAACAGCAAAGAAATTCTGGTGCTTTAAGTGTTCCTCGCTTGGCTCAGAAACTTGCCTTCGAGCCAGGACGCAGACTGCACCTGCGACGAATTTGTCTCACATAAGCCTGCAGCGCTTCCGCGGCCATTGACTCCCGGAAACTACAATTCCCATTACGCACCGCGACTGTGCGGACTAAACTGGTATAAACTCCAAGCCCCAGAATGCATTGGGCGAGAGGCGAGCGCACGGAGGAGCGCAGGGGCGTGGCCACGTCTCCCGCGCGGGACCGTTAAATTTGAATCTTGGCGGCTAGTGATGTGGGCTTGAGGTGGCTGGTTTGTAACGGAGTCTTGTGCGTGCTTCGGTCGCTTCTGTAGCTCCGAGGGCAGGTTGCGGCCCAGAGGAAAGGCCTGCAGCCGAAGAGGACCTTAGCCAGGAATGCAGGATGGCGGCGGTGAAGAAGGAAGAGGGTGCTCTGAGGTAGGTACAGGAGAAGAGCTGCTAGGGGCTGGGCCTGAGAGACCCGAAGGTGTCTGGTAAGTGACAGAGGCTTCGCTCGGAGCAGTCAGGGAGACCGGCACGGTCAGGAGAACAGGCCCCGCCGGAGCTTCCTTCGCTTTGGAGTCGGACGCCAGAGGTGGAGGTGAAAACGCAGTGGAGTGAGGGCACGTGCGAATCCTGCCGTATCCAGCTTCAAAGCGAAGAAGGCCGCGGGACCCCAGCGGGACAGAGAGCTTGGAAGTTGTGATGTGGCCTGTTTGTAACTCAGCTCAGCCATCTGCTAATTGTTTGACCTTGGGCAAATCGTTGGTATGGAAAATGCTGATGTTAATGCTGCTTTATGGGGCTCTGGCGGAATTCAAAGTATTTGTTAAGTAACTGCTTTCAGATAAGCGTTCAACTAATGGCAGGTGCTGTGTCAGTAGCATAGAGATCTAAAAAGCCTTTAGCCAATATAGAGATCTAAATTATTCCAGTAGCACAGAGATCTAAGCCTTTCTCTGCACGTTTGCAGCTTTTCCTTGTATTAAAAGGAACTACATAGCAATTCTAGGTTGGAAGTCTGTATGTATTTTCACTACGATGCCCACAATGCATTGATAAATGCTGTGTCGTGGGCTCTTTGATTCATGTAACAAATGTTTTTTGGCTAAGCTCTGGATGCAGCAAATACACAAAAAAAATCTCAACCCTCATGAAGCTTAAATTCTGGGATGGGGTGAAGGTGGGTGAGTTAGACAATAAAGACGAACTGTTAGATGGAGGTGGTGGTCAGTACTTTTAAAAAAAAAGCAAGTGGGGGTAGGCAATATTGGGGGTGAGGAGTGGTGCAATTTTAGCTTGAACATTGGAGCCTCACTGAAGAGATGTCATTTTTGTCAAGACTTGAATCTGAAGGGCTGGATGTTCTTATCTCTGGGGGAATTACAAAGGCTGAGGGTAAGAGTTGCGGGGGGAAGTTGCACCTGTCATGTCCAAGGCTATGTCCCTGGAGCAGAATTAACTACAAGGGTAAAAGGAGGTAAAGTAAAAAAGGTGAAGATGCAGGCATTGTAAGGACTTGGCTTTTACTACAGTTGTAATCAAAAGTCCCTGGAAGGTTTTGAGCAAAGGAAAGACATGATCTGACTTGGGTTTAAATGTAATCAGTTTGGCTGTTGTGTTGAATAGACAAAGGCAGCAAAGGATGGAAGCAAGGGATACCAGTTAAAAGGTTATTGAAATAATTTAGCCCAAAATAATTGAGCTCAAAAGTGAGTTGAGCCAGGTGGAAAACAGTGGAGACGATTAGAAGTGGTTGATTTCTGTATATATTTTGAAGGTAGTAGAGCCAGTAGGATTTGCTAACTGACTGAGGGGTATGAGAAGGGCATCAAAGTTGGCACTAAGATTTTTAGCTTGAGCAACTGAAGAATGGAATTGCCATTTATTTGAGAAAGAGGAAGACTGGGAGGAGCAGGTCTGGGAGGAAGTGGAGGCAGTTTTAGCTCAATTTGGGATATTTAACTGAGATTGTTTAATCACTATTATTAAGACCAAGAGAAGAAAGGTCAGATGAATTCAACAAACATTTATTCAGGGCATAATAGTGTTATATCTTGTATTAAGTGGCGGGCATACAAAAATAAATGGCATGGCCCTTACCTTTACAGGCTACACAATATACCACAGGTCCTGGTATAATGTTTCATTATAATGTTGATGAGAAAAAAAACAATTTATTGTTGGGCTGCTGTGTATGTGGAGTTTGCTTGTTTTCCCCATGTCTGCGTTGGTTTCCTTAGTATTCTAATTTCCTTCTACATCCCAAAGATGTGCCTGTTAATTGGTGTGTCTAAATGGTCCCAGTTTGAATGAAAGTGGGTGTGAACGTGAGTGCTCCCTGTGATGAAATGGTGGTCCTGTCGAGCGTTGGTCACTCTCTGAGTTGCTGAGATGGGCTCTGGCCACCCTCAACCCCTGAGTAGAATAAGTGAGTTGGAAAATGAATGAAGGAATGAGTTCAAATTATTGTAAAGTAAAAATCTGTAAAGTTTAGGCACGGTGTCTCACACCTGTAATCCCAGCGCTTCGGGAGGCTAAGGCAGCAGTATTGCTTCAGCTCAGCAGTTCAAGACCAGTTTGGGCAACATAGTGGGACCTGCCTCTACTAAAAAAAAATTATATAAAGTGTACAATAATCATACAAATGCATGACAATAAGCAACACCTTATGAAAGTGCCCAGCAGCCCCACTATAATATAATTGTTTGTTTTTGAACTTTGTGGTGGTAGAAGGTGCTTCTTAAAAGTTTGACTCGCAAACATTTATTCCTTGAGTTAACCCACAAACACCATGACTGCAGTCACTCACTGATTCACGAAAAATTGGGTAAATGATTATTTTTTGTTTTTATTAATTGTTCTTAAATGTATGGATAGCCCACATTTATTTCCATGTTTAATATTAAAAGTGTTTTGGGTCTTTATTTAGAAGTTTGATGATGTTTTTGTGACCAGAAATGTGCCATAGGAACTTAACTCTTGTTTATATCAATCAGCCTGTGGCAAAACTGGTTTTGTTACACGTCATTTTGATTAAAGTCATAGTTTCCAAGAAGTTGTCTCCAACGTTAAGTGAAAACTTATCGTAGTTAAAAAGATGTGACTGATTACAACTCGAATTATTAATCACAGTTACTTTTTCAGCACTCATCTAGACTGAAGTCCCATATAACTTTCACTCGGTTTCAAAGATTAGTGCCAATCTGTCTCTCCTTTTGTTTCACATTTCAGAGATAATATCTTTTAGAAGTAGTCTTCTATCTAACAATTGCAGGATTCTGAAGAGCAGAAAACATAACGATAATTACCTCCAAAACATTTTGGGGATTCTCCCAGTAGGCTTGATAGAATTGGGTGTGGGGATGCAGGGAATTTTGACTAGTAAACTGTTTGCTTCTGCTCTTGGCTACCTATATGTACAAACTTCAGTTTTGAGTCATCTGTTGAAACATGGGACAGTAGTCTCACCAACACTTTGCTAATTTTATTTATTTTTATGAGACAGGGTCTTGCTCTGTTGCCCAGGCTGCAGTGCAGTGGTGTGGTCCTGGCCCACTGCAGCTTTGACCTCCTGAACTCAAACAATCCTCCCACCTCAGTCTTCTGAGTAGCTTCAACCATAGACGTGTACCACCACACCTGGCTAATTTTTTATTTTTTGTAGAGATGGGGGTTTTCCTGCGTTACTCAGGGTGGTCTCGAACTCCTGGGCTCAAGCATTCCCCCTCCCTCAGCCTCCCAAAGTGGTAGGATTACAGGCATGAGCTACCATACCTGGCACTAATTTTAAATTAAACTAGGTGATGCATTCAGTGGTAGGCGTAGAAGTACTTGTTGCCTCTTTGCCAAATTTATAACTCTCTTGTTTCCTTCTTTTCTTTGTGCCTTAACTTCTATTCATTTTTCTTTTCCTTTCTTTTTTTTTAAAGGAAGAAGTGGGGTCTTGGTATGTTGCCCAGGCTGGTCTTAAACTCTTGGCTCAAGAAATGCCTCCACTTTGACGTTACAAAGTGATGGGATTACGGGTGTAAGCCACCGCACACAGCCACACTGTATTCTTATATTACTGTCCACAATATCCTTGCCAAATTGTATTCAATTAGGCATTATTGTAGCCATAAACCTGAAAACCAGGTAACAGATAAAGAAGCTTAGGAGTATAATAATAATACCGTGTCATTCCACCATCTTCAACCCAAGACCATGAATAATCGCCTATTTGCAGACATTTACAATAATCTAGTGCTATAATTCAATGTTGGTATGAGATTTACTTTTGTTTCTTTCTTCACAGTGAAGCCATGTCCCTGGAGGGAGATGAATGGGAACTGAGTAAAGAAAATGTACAACCTTTAAGGCAAGGGAGGATCATGTCCACACTTCAGGGAGCATTGGCACAAGAATCTGCCTGCAACAATACTCTTCAGCAGCAGAAACGGTGTGTAGAATGGCTGAGTCTCAACCTGTCATCATTCATCCCCAGCTGTTGTAGATAATGTGGGTGTAGATCTATGGGGAATGGCATAATGAGTACTCTTTAAATTTCTGTAGTACGAGAATCTGTTCCCTGCTTTCTCATCACATGACAACTATCCAAGGATATCCTCAAGTATAATTAAAAACAAAGGCTATAGGATTTAATTTCATTGTGGAGCAGGCAAACTATTTTTAGCAATAGAAATACATTTTATACAGGGGGCAGTGATAAGCATAGTAAAGTAAGTATTACATTGCAATGTTTCCCAAAAGTATTATGTCATTCTGGACCCCTGAACAGACTTAACTCTTTGATGGTAATTGATAAGGGATATTGCCTCCTTGGATTGTGAGTACTAAGGGAGAGTGAATCTGCTATCTTTTATGTGTACTGAATTATTAACTTCCTAGGAAGTTATTTTTGAGAGTATGACAAAAATAAGTGGTCTCCAAACACATGTAAACCTCAGAAAAATTGAATTTGTACTAGAACATTCTCAGTAATGACTTAACAAATTTAACAAATACAAATTTTTGTATCTTGAGTAGAGATGCGGTCTTGCCATGTTGGCATGCTGGTCTTGAACTCCTGAACTCAAGCGATCCTACCCACTTTGGCATCCCAAAGTGCTGGGATTACAGGTGTAAGCTACCGCACCCAGCCTCATTCATCATATTTTTTCATGTTACATGCATCAGTAGATTTTCTTTTTATTGCTGAATAGGATTTCATTTATTTATTCACCAATTGATGAATATTTAGATTCTTCTAGTTTTGTGCTTTATGAATAATGTTGCTATGGACATTCTTGTACAAGGCTTTTTGTTGACGTAATTTTCATTTCCCTTGGAATGGAATTATTGGACCATAGAATAGATGTATGTTTGGCTGGGTGCAGTGGTTCACACCTGTAATCCCAGCACTTTGGGAGGCCAAGGTGGACAGATCACCTGAGGTCAGGAGTTCGAGACCAGCCTGACCAACATGGAGAAACCCCATCTCTATTAAAAATACAAAAATTAGCCAGGCGTGGTGGCACATGCCTGTAATCCCAGCTACTTGGGGGTCTGAGGCAGGAGAATTCCTTGAACCTGGGAGGCAGAGGTTGTGGTGAGCCGTGATCGCCACCATTGCACTCCAGCTTGGGCAACAAGATAAAAACTCCACCTCAAAGAAAAAAAAAAAAATAGAATAGATGTATGTTTAACTGTTGAAGAAACTGGTTTACCAAAGTGATTGTAACATTTTACACTCCTACCAGCAACTCATGAGAGTTTATTTGCACCAAATCCACTCCAGTGTTTGGTATTGTCAGTCTATTTCATTTTAGCCATTCTAGTTTTGTGGAGTTAAGTTTCATTACTTCACATTTCCCTGGTGACTAATAATGGTGAACATTTTTTTCACATGCTGCTTGGCCTTTTGTATATCTTCTTTTGTGGTGTATCTGTTTAGATATTTTCCCAGTTTTCAAATTGTGTTGCAGGGGTTCTTTATTTACTTTTCCCAGGACCATAGATTCAAGTTTCCCAGATTCAAGTTTCCCTGATTCAAGTTTCAGGAGCATAGATTCAAGATTCCCTGAATCTGTGCTCCCCAGTAGGGTTCTTTATATATTCTGTATACCAGTCTTTTATCAAATATATGTGTCGGAGATATTTTTTTCCCTCATCCATGTCTATTTTCTGGGTGGCTTTTTTTTTAAACTGCTAAGTTTTAAATATTGATAAAGTTCAATTAGTGTGGGTTTTTTTTTATGGTTAGTACTTTTTGTGCCCTCTTCAGGAGATTTTTGCCTACCCCAAAGTCACAAAGATGCTTTCCTATGTTTTCTTTTACTAGCTTCATGGTTTTATGTTTAGGTGTATTATTTATCTTAAATTTATCCTTGTATATGGTATGAGGCTGGAGTAAAAAAGTCTCCCCTCCCCCCACCCCTATGTGGGTATCTTTCTAGTTGTTCTGCCTCCATTTGTTAGAGAGTTTTTTGTTTCCTTTCCTCATTGAATTGCATTGGGACCTTTTACAAAATCATTTGACCACATATGTGTGGGTTATTTCTAGACTCTGTATTCTGTTCCATTGATCAAATTGCCTATCCTTTCACCAATAATGTGGTGTCTTGATTAGTTTTATATCGAAAGTCCAGCAGGGTGAGTTCTATAGCTCTTGTTCTTTTTCAGAATTGCTTTAGTTATTGTTGATCCTTTGCCTTTGCAAACAAATTTTGAAATCATCTTGTCAATTTCTAGAAAAGAGCCTACTAGAATTTCAATTACATTGGTTTGAATCTATAGATCAATTGGGAGGATTGCTGATTTTTATCAGTAGCATCTTAGATTTTATTTTTTCACCATTTCTGCAGATAATGTCATTATCTCACTTTAATTGCCATGTTAGCTTCATAATTGTGGTCCCTTCTAATGCCTGGCTATCCTTATAAAGTTACTTGATTAATCTTTTTGAAATCTTGTCATATTTAAGATACCCTCCATTTAAAGAACCAATGGTGGCTTGAGCAGATGGAATCCAAAGTCTTTAAATTTACATTTAAAGCATGTGCTTCTTACTTCTCCAGGTGTCTCCATTTGTTCTCAGTACTGACTTTATGTTACAGGTTAGGGTCCACTCAACTTCCTTTGGATAAACTCTTCCACCTTCATAATTTTATTCAATATTAGTTTCACTCTTTCTTGAAAAAACTGTTCTTTTTCAAATTCCCTGGTTCCTTCAGAGTCTCACCTTCAGAGGCTGCTTCTGTGATACCTCCTTTGACTTCTTAAAGCCTTTACTGCCCATTCTTGGCAACTGTAATTTAGTATACTGTTTTGTATTACTAGTACATTTTTCATTTATTTACGTTTTTTTTAAATTAGAGTATAAATTCCCATGTGTCAGGGACTAATTTATTATTTTTAGATCAAACATAACTCATTATACAATTTTTGTTAGTCATTTATCCAAATTGTGGCTTATTACCTAATTCTTCCCTCTATTCTAACTGGTCAATCTTAATTTAGTCTTAGCCCTTTGCCTTTCCCAGCTTTTTTTTTTTTTTTTTTTTTTTTTTTTATTTTTTTTTTTTTTTTTTTTTTTTTTTTAATAGAGATGGGGTTTCTCCATGTTGGCCAGGCTGGTCTTGAACTTCTGACCTCAGGTGATCCACCCACCTCGGCCTCCCAAAGTGCTGGGATTACAGGTGTGAGCCACTGCGCCCAGCCTCCCAGCTTTTTATAGTCATATTTTACCCTTTCTTTGATGTGTTCTCCACATTATCTATGGTATTATTCTTCTTTGACTAATGTTACCCATGGAATTTTTTTTGAACTTTAAAATTCTTACTTATATATTTGTTAATGTGTGTAAACCCTTTACATTTAATACTGGACAACCTAATAAGAAAATACTATTATTATGCCCATTTTACAAATGCGGAAACTGAAAATATAGTTTTAAGTAGCTTGTCCAGTGTTAGTCATCTTGTGATTGGTGGAGCTGAAGTTGAATCTAGGTTGTCTTGTTTCAGAGTTTTTAACTGCTATGTAATATTAATACTACTTTTCTGTATGTTGTCGTGAAATTTGTTCCTCTAATTTCTATATATTTTCTCCCTCTTATGTTATTAAGCAGAATCCTTTTTTTTTTTTTTTTNCTTTTTGCTCAGGCTGGAGTGCAGTGGTGCATCCTCAGCTCACTGCAACCTCTACTTCCTGGGTTCAAGCGATCCTCTCACCTCAGCCTCCCAAGTAGCTGGGAGTATAGGTGCTTGCCATCACACTCAGCTTATTTGCTGGTGCTTGCCATCACACCCAGCTAACATGATGGGGTTTCACCATCTTCCCCAGGTCTCAAACTCCTCACCTCAAGTGATCCACCCCCTTGGCCTCCCAAAGTGTTGGGATTACAGGTATCAACCACTGTGCCTGGCCTTGTTCTGTTCTTTAGCAAACCCATAAACTCTACTGCAATAATTGAGATCAGTTACATGAATAAAAATGGAAGTGATACTTGTTCATTGGCTGTTGTCACTATTGCATATGCTAACATTTTCTGTTTAAATTTCAGGGCATTTGAATCTGAAATTCGCTTTTACACTGGAAATGACCCTCTGGATGTTTGGGATAGGTGGGTCTTTTTATTTAACAAGGACAATAGAAACATTAACAGACTTTTAATCCCAAGATTCTATGATTATATTTAATTGCAGTTGTTAAAAATAACAATTAATTAGAATTTATCTCTTTATTTTTGTTAACCTGGTGCTTGTACTGAAGAATAATAATATCATAAAGTAAAAAGCATAGTTTAGATCAATGCTACTGAAAGAAGGGTTTGCATACTGTTTGAGAGAAGTACTCAGATGAGTCCTTATGGCCATGTTTCTTAAATTGGGTATATGGAGTGTGTGTCAGAGTAGAAAGTGGTGTCATGGGGCCACAGAGATCCAGAATAATCATAATATATCTTCCTGAGGTGTTTAAGATTCAAGAAATTTCAAGTTTATGACATACAACATTGAACTACACCCTCCTATCCCTATCCTCAGTTTTCCCTAGAAGCATGTGTTAGAGACAATTTGGAGAAGTTTGAAGACACAGGCTTAGGGTATGTCACTGAGGACCTCAAAAGAAACATACTTATATTAAATACTTCTGCTTAAATCCAGAATGGGTCTTGGAGCAAGAACAAAAGTACATTTCAATTTAAAATGTGTTCTTAAATTTGTCTTCCCATTCAGGTATATCAACTGGACAGAGCAGAACTATCCTCAAGGTGGGAAGGATAGTAACATGTCAACGTTATTAGAAAGAGCTGTAGAAGCACTGCAAGGAGAAAAACGATATTATAGTGATCCTCGATTTCTCAGTCTCTGGCTTAAATTAGTAAGTCTTTCTCAAGTGCCATCTGAGTTTTAAATATTAAACTAAGAGATTTTCTCCAGAGGAATCTGGTATACCAAAAAAGTAAAACCTGAGCCATTTAGTAAATCGGAAACATTTAATAAATACTCAGTATTTTTTAAATTAGTTCTACTTTTTTGTGTGTGTGACGGAGTCTTGCTCTGTTGCCAGGGTGGAGTGCAGTGGCACTATCTTGACTCACTGCAACCTCTACCTCCTGGGTTCAAGCGATTCTGCCTCAGCCTCCCAAGTAGCTGGGACTATAGGCACATGCCACCACACTCAGCTAATTTTTGTATTTTTAGTAGAGACAGGGCTTCACCATGTTGGCCAGGATGGTCTCGATCTCCTGACCTCATGATCCGCCAACCTAAGCCTCCCAACCCAAACTGCTGAGATTACAGGTGTGAGCCACTGCGACTGGCCTAAATTGGTTCTACTTAAAGGAGGACTTAAATATAGTATAATACGTTTTTTTTTTTTGCCCTCTTAAGATTGATTGCAGTCTGTAGATCTCTCAATGGGTATGGATTATTAATTAATTAATTTTATTTTTTAAGACAGAGTCTCACTTTGTCACTCAGGCTGGAGTGTGGTGGCTCTGTCATGGCTCACTGCAGCCTAAACCTAGGCTCAAATGATCCTCCCACCTCAGCCTTCTGAGTAGCTGGAACTACAGGCGCTATGCCACTACATCTGGCTAATTTTTAAATTTTTAGTAGAGGTGACATCTCTTTCTGTTGGCCAGAGTGATCTCAAACTCCTGAGCTCAAGCCATCCTCCCACCTTGACCTCCCAAAGTGCTGGGATTACAGGTGTGAACTTACACTCCTAGCCCGCATTATTTATTTATTTATTCTAAACATAACTGGGCTGGGTACAGTGGCTCATGCCTGTAGTTCCAACACTGGGGGGCTGAGGTGGGCAGATCACTTGAGCCCAGGAGTTCAAGACTAGTCAAGGCAACATGGTGAAACCCCATCTCTACAAAAAATACAAAAATTAGCCGGGTGTGGTATCATGTGCCTGTAGTCCCAGCTACTCAGAAGATTGAGGTGGGAGGATTGCTTGAGCTCAGGATGTCCAGACTACAGTGAGCTGTGATCGTACCACTGTACATAAGCCCAGGTGACAGAGTAAGATGTTGTCTCAAAAAACAAAAACCAAAACAGAAAAAACAACTGGACCATGAAACTGTACTGGAGGAGGAGGGAGCTAACATTTGCCAGCCATATGGGTGTTTGGGGAAAAATTCCCCTTGGTGATTCTGGTATCCCTTTCACCCCATTATGAAAGTCATCACCATAAAAAAGTGATGTTTCAGTTTTTTATTGGTCTTTGTACTTTTTTACCTAGTATACTGCTATAGCCAAAAATATCTGTCTGGGCTGGGTGCAGTGGTTCATGTCTATAATCCCAGCACTTTGGGAGGCCAAGGCAGGTAGATCATTTGAGGTCAGGAGTTTGAGGTTTGAGCCAGCCTGACCAACATGGTGAAACTCTGTCTCTATAAAAATACAAAAAAAAATTAGCCGGGTGTAGTGGCGCATGCCTGTAGTCCCAGCTGCTCGGGAGGCTGAGGGAGGACAGTTGCTTGAACCCAGGTGGTGGAGGTTGCAGTGAGCCAAGATCATGCCATAGAACTCCAGCCTGGGTGATAGAGCAAGGCTCCATCTCAAAAAAAAAGAAAAAAAAAAATGCTGCCTGACTACTTTGTACTGTTGCACTTGACATGTAGAAATAACATATTTTTCATAAAAAACAATGATCATGGTTTCTTAGACATTAGTATCATTGCTTTTATTCTAAAATGAATTAGAAAAAAAAGCAATAAATATTTAAAATTGTTCACAACCACTACATTATGATGAAATATTGACATTAAAGCTGATAAGGCTTCTTAGTAAAATCAATCTCTCTTGACATTAAAACTGATAAGATTTTATACTAAAATAAAATAAGAAATTTCTTATTAAGTCTTGAGGAAGACTTATTTTAAACCTCCAATATAGTTGACCCTTGAAGAACACGGGGCTTAGGTGTGCTCACCCCTCACCCAGTTGAAAATATGCATATAACTTTTGACTCCCCCAAAATTATTAATAGCCTACTGTTGACCAGAAGCCTTACCAATAACATAAAGTCGATTAACACATAGTTTGTATGCTATATGTATAATATCTTTTTTTTTTTTTACTACAATGTAAACTAGAGACTAGAGAAAAAAATGTTATTAAGAAAATTATAAGGAAGAGAACATATATTTACTAGTTGTTAAGTGGATCATTATAAAGATTTTCATCCTCCCTGTCTTCACATTGAGTAGGCTGAGGAGGAAGAAGAAGGGTTTGTCTTGCTGTCTCAGGGATGGCAGAGGTGGAAGAAAATATGTGTATATGTGAACCTGTGCAGCTCAGATCTGTGTTGTTCAAGGGTCAACTATAGTTACAAGTATAGAAAATTAGGTAAATCCTCAAGGCATAAAGTATCTTGATTTCCTCAGGACATTTTACAAATATTTTTACATCCTTAGTGAAAGGTTGGAGAAATTACCTTATGAATATTAGTTACAGAAACTTATAATGAAAAACGGCAACCAAAGAATGCTAAACAGATTTGTTAGCCTGGAGACTGTAGACCCTTGCAGTGTAACACAATGGTTACACCCAAATAAAGGATTTTGTCCTTCATTTGTCACTAGCCTAAATATCTTTATGTGTAATTTATTGAAAGATTGGAGACTGGGTGTGGTGGCTCACATCTGTAATCCCAGCACTTTGGGAAGCCAAGGTGTGCATATCACCTGAGGTCAGGAGTTCGAGACTAGCCTGGCCAACAAGGTGAAATCCCTTCTCTACTAAAAATACAAAAATTACCATGCGTGGTGATGTGTGCCTGTAATCCCAGCTACTCACGAGGCTGAGGCAGAATAATTGCTTGAACCTGGGTGGCAGAGGTTGTATGAGCTGAGATTGTGCCACTTCACTCCAGCCTGGGTGACTGAGAGAGACTCATTCTCAGAAAAAAAAGAAATAATAAAAGATTGGACTAGCTGTACCTCTAAAGTGACTTTCAGTCCCAGGAATCTATGATTATATTTAATTGCAGTTGTTAAAAGTAACAATTAGAATAACTTATCTATTTTTGTTAACCTGGTGCTTGTACTGATGAAGAATAATATCATAAAGTAAAAAGCACAGCCTAGATCAGTGCTACTGAAAGACGGGTTTGCATACTGTTTGAGGTAAGTACAAAAATTGGAAGTGAGCTTTTGGAAACTTTGGTAACAATTTGATATTGCTGGGATATTCAAGCACATCATCATAGTAAGTTCTAATTTTTGTTGTATTTTATGTCAGTCCATGATGGAACACACACATGCACATAGTAAAGCTGGCCCCTTCACCACAGATTATCTGAGAAACACTGGTATAGACAGCCATCAAGTTCAAATGATCAACACTAGAATGATCAGCAATAATCTGAACTTTGTATGTGACAAACAAGGTACATAATAAACTATTGCTTTTTCTTTGTGGTGCTTGTCAAGAGTAGTAACAGATGAATTCTTCATACTACTTTCTTTTGCTTTGCAGAAGGAGTTCTCCAGTCAGTTATTTTATGTGACTCTTACAGTCTAGCTAAGGAAAAATTTGTTTCTAGAAAACATCTGGTATTTTTATTTAAAGGTATAGAATTATTTTAGTTTGGCAATTTAAGGGTTACCAAAAAAGGTTTATTTAACTTTTAGATCTATTAATCTAACCATGTAGTCCTTTTATTTATGTTATTTCTGTTTTTT